AGCAACCTAGATGCCCATCAGCAGATGAATGGATGAGGAAGCTGTGGTACATATACACCATGGAATATTACTCAGCCATTAAAAAGAATTCATTTGAATCAGTTCTAATGAGATGGAGGAAACTGGAGCCTATTATACAGAGTGAAGTAAGCCAGAAAGATAAAGAACATTACAGCATACTAACACATATATATGGAATTTAGAAAGATGGTAATGATAACCCTATATGCAAAACAGAAAGAGAGACACAGATGTACAGAACAGACTTTTGGACTCCGTGGGAGAAGGCGCGGGTGGGATGTTTCGAGAGAACAGCATCGAAACATGTATATTATCTATAGTGAAACAGATCACCAGCCCAGGCTGGATGCATGAGACAAGTGCTCGGGCCTGGTGCACTGGGAAGACTCAGAGGGATTGGGTAGAGAGGGAGGTGGGAGGGGGGATCAGGATGGGGAATACATGTAAACCCATGGCTGATTCATGTCAGTGTATGACAAACCCACTACAATATTGTAAAGTAATTAGCCTCCAACTAATAAAAATAAATGGAAAAAAAAAAGGAGTTCCTCATAAATAACAATGGCTTCCTTGGTGGCTCTGATGGTAAAGAATCTGCCTACAATGCAGGAGAACTGGGTTCAATCCCTGGGTTGGGAAGATCCCCTGGAGGAGGGCATGGCAACCCACTCCAGTATTCTTGCCTGGAGAATCCCCATGGACAAAAGAACCTGGCAGGCTATACAGTCCATGGGGTCACAAAGAGTCAGACACAACGGAGCAACTAAGCACGCACGCGCGCGCGCACACACACACACACACACACACACACACACGAGTAACAAAAGACTGATCATTCAGGAAATTCCAAGGGTTTTAGGAGCTATGTGCCAAGAATAGAAACAAACCAAATATATTTCTTATTATACCACAGCTCTTTATGAAGCCAGTGACATTCAAGGGTGGTGTCTACAGCACTATTTCTTAGCAGCAGGCACAATGGTATTTGGGGCTGGGCAACTCATTCCCATGCATCTTGGGATGTTCTGCACCCCTAACTTCCTCTTGCAGTTTTTCTAGCAACCTAAAATGCCCAACACACACCTGAATGCCAAAGCTCTGCTTGAGCAACTGGTCCAGAGGGAGCACAATGCTTCCTGCAAATGACTGTTCAGGAACTCACCCAGTGGTTGGTAAGCCAATGGAATGGAATTTCTCTGCCACAGGGCATGGTCCAGGAATAAGTATGCAGTTTGGGTCAATGAAGTGTAAACAGAGGTTTGCTAGGGAGCTCTCTGGAGAGAGTACATCTGGAAGAAATAGATTTTTTTTACCCTGGAAATTTTCATGTAAAACTTTTTGCTCCTCTCTAGAGTTATTCTGTTGAGCAAGGGCAATAAATCACCTGTATTCCTTAAGTCAATAATAAATCTCAAAATGTTGGATTTTCTATTGTTTACCACAGCAAGTAACCTACCTGATTTAATATCTTTCTTAGGCTCTTAGGTCCTGCTGTCTCTCTGTAAAGAACATGCCCCTTGGATGAGGGGATCTTTATTTGTATTAACTCTAGTTGAAATTTAACATTTTATTCAGTTATGATTGTTGCCAACACTATGGTATATTAGCAGTATCTATGGCTTTGTCACTAACAGGAATATGGATGTTGTCATCTAACAATACAATTGATACAAATAACCTATATCATTTACACACGTCCCAACTGCTAAATTATGATCATTATTAGATCTCTTCTTAGATCTTGGTTTTTAATATATTCATAAAGAAGTGCACATATTTCTCTAACAGAAATTCATTTGGGGAATATTTAATACAATTCTAATATAATTTCTTTCTATAATTCTTATTTTTTGTAACTTTTAAAGCATTATTCTGAGCAGCTATCCATGAACTTTCAGTTCAGTTCAGTTCAGTCACTCAGTCGTGTCCGACTCTTTGTGACTCCATGAATTGCAGCACACCAGGCCTCCCTGTCCATCATCAACTCCCGGAGTTTACTCAGACCCATGTCCATCAAATCGGTGATGCCATCCAGCCATCTCATCCTCTGTCTTCCCCTTCTCCTCCTGCCCCCAACCCCTCCCAGCATCCGGGTCTCTTCCAATGAGTCAACTCTTTGCATGTGGTGGCCAGAGTATTGGAGTTTCAGCTTCAGCATCAGTCCTTCTAATGAATACCCAGGACTGATCTCCTTTAGGATGGACTAGCTGGATCTCCTTGCACTCCAAGGGACTCTCAAGAGTCTTCTCCAACACCATAGTTCAAAAGCATCAATTCTTTGGCGCTCAGCTTTCCCCACAGTCCAATTCTCACATCCATACGTGACCATTGGAAAACCATAGCCTTGACTAGACAGACCTTTGTTGGCAAAGTAATGTCTCTGCTTTTCAATATGGTATCTAGATTGGTCATAACTTTCCTTCCAAGGAGTAAGCGTCTTTTAATTTCATGGCTGCATTTACCATCTGCAGTGATTTTGGAGCCCAAAAAAATAAAGTCTGACACTGTTTCTGCTGTCTCCCCATCTATTTGCCATGAAGTGATGGGTCCAGATGCCATGATCTTAGTTTTCTGAATGTTGAGTTTTAAGTCAACTTTTTCACTCTCCTCTTTCACTTTCATCAAGAGGCTTTCTAGTTCCTCTTCACTTTCTGCCATAAGGGTTAGAATACTAATAGGATATACTGCTAAAAGAAAAATGAGAACACCAAAACACCATGTTTCCTAATTTTTAAAATCTTTCTGATTACTGCTTTTCAGTTCAGTTTTGAAGCTCAGGTTACAGAGCCCACCGTGCCATTTTTTTTCTTAGCATAAGAATTACATATGACTGACATTACAGTCATCGGGTTTTACAGCAAGCATTCGCCCAAGAACTTAGGTGTAAGTTTGTCCCCTGAGAATTAATGTTAACAATTCAACTTGTTAACAATGATGACAATCATGTGGTGAAAATAACAGATAACACACAGAGAGCTTTTCATGCCCAAGGTGCTGCACCGTCATCCTATGATTCTGATACTATTTTTTCCATTCTACAGACTAAGGAACTCAAGTGCAGATGGGATCAATTCTTTGGTAGATCAGATGGCAGGTAATTAATGAGTTGGGGGCTTAATATACTGCAAAATGAAGTTACAGGAGAGACTTAAAGATACAGGTTGAGTCCTGGGGACAGAACTTGATGGTAATTTGATTGAATCAGCTAAGTCCATCAGAAGGAGGCTTAGTCAGTCTTAGAGGCTCAAAAACAAAAATCTTGGAGATAAAAATTTATATTCTCTACTGAAATATTATAGCTTCCCTGGTGGCTCAGAAGGTAAAGAATCTGCCTTCAGTGCAGGAGACCCAGGTTCGATCCCTCAGTTGAGAAGATACCCTGGAGAAGGGAATGGCGATGCACTCCAGCATTCTTGCCTGGAGAATTCCATGGACAGAGGAGCCTGGTGGGCTACAGTCCATGGGGTGACATAGTCAGACATGACTGAGCAACTACACTTTCACTTTAACTGAAACATTACTTAGGGGAGTTTTTAACTCATCAAAGTATTTGGTACTTGAGTAAGGCCATTAGGGTCGAAAAGAGTCGGAAACAACTGAGAGACTGAGCACACAGGCATAAGGCCATTGAGCCAGGTTTACAAATGCTTTTGGAGGCCAAGCAGATACAGCTTGCAGATCAGAATGAGACATCAGGGCGTAGTCGGGCTGATGAAATGAGTGAGAAAATGAAAGGTACTAGGAGTTACAGATTCTTCTCCCCAGAAAGGCCATCCCAAACATAAGATGAATGTTTCATGTTCCCTCTGCTTAAAGTCATCAAATATTTCCATACATTTTACTCTTTGTCTAGGATAAGAAAAAATTAGTGGCATTAATTTTATGTATTCCTATCTCTGGGAGAGTGATTTCTCATTGCAATTGACATTCTACTTTTAAAAATCAGATTCATAAACTAGGTTAACGTGAGCCATTTCTGAAAGATGGATTCACTCTTGATGTGCAGAGAAATCAGGTTTCTAAGCCTGATTTACTATATATACCATCCTGTGAGTTCTCTTGGGACAGTGAATATAACCCTTTTCCATGGACATAAAGCTTTCATCAATTCCTTGTGGAGGACAAATATGTTTTTCTCACGTGTTATATGTTAATGACTTCTAAATTTGTATGTGGAGGTCAGAACTCTCATCAGACCCACACAACCAGCTTCCAGTACTGTCACTTACTATCATGATATGAGAAATTATTTAATCTCCTTAAGCCTCAGTCTCTTTTTCTATCAAAAAAAAATTTTTTTCTCTGTATACTTGTTTTGTATTTTTTTAGCTATATTAACAGAATTTGGAAATTCAGGTTAAAGAGTTTGCATATATTAAAGCATTATAATACTCATTTCACTATCTTTTCAAAAATTGATTCAATTTGCCTTTTCAAGTTTTATAAAAGAATTCTCACTTTCTCACATTTTTTTCACTTCTGATTATTATTGTTTTTCTTTAAATAAATATTTTAAATTAAAAAATACTATCAGTGGGGTTAACATATATATACTATTATATGTAAAATAGATAACCAACAAGGACCTACCACATAGAACAGGGAACTATATTAATATTTTGTAATAACTTGTAAGGAAAAAGAATCTGAAAAAGAACATATGTGTGTATAACTGAACCACTTTGCTGCACACCTGGAACTAACACAACATTGAAAGTCAATTATACTCCAATTTAAAATAAAACTCTCAGGGTAAAATGCAAAAAATACATAAATTAATTAAAAACTATTCGATTTGTTAAGATTGGATTATTTGGGCAGTTCGTTACACATTTTCAATTGTATTAAATGTATGTGAAGTTTAACAATAACTATCAGATACTTAATAGATACCCAGGTAGAGCATACACATAGATGCTACAAAATAGAAGATCCGGTTCTCTTCCAGCATCATCGTCGCCATCTTCGGCACAAACTAGCTCACTTGGATCTGCCTGGGAGAATCCACCACCATCCACCACCATGGTGAACTTCACAGTAGACCAGATCCGGTCCATCACGGACAAGAAGGCCAACATCAGGAACATGTCCGTCATCGCCCACGTGGACCAGGGCAACTTCACTCTGATGGACTTCCTGGTGTGCAAGGCAGGTATCATCACCTCTGCCCAGGCTGGGGAGACCTGCTTCACTGACACCCGGAAGGATGAGCAGGAGTGTTGCATCAGAATCAAGTCAACGGCCGTCTCCCTTTTCTACAAGCCTTCAGAGAACAACAACTTGAATTTCATCAAGCAGAGCAAGGATGGCTCTGGCTTCCTCATCAACCTCATCGACTCCCCTGGGCACGTGGATTTCTCCTCAGAGGTGACAACTGCGCTCCATGTCACCAACGGCGCCTTGGTGGTGGTGGACTGCATGTCGGGGGTGTGTGTGCAGAGACGGTGCTGAACCAGGCCATCGCCAAGGGCATCAGGCTGGTGCTGATGATGAACAAGATGGACTGGGCCCTGCTTGAGCTGCAGCAGGAACCCGAGGAGCTCTACCAGACCTTCCATTGCATCGTGGGAATGTCAGCAGCATCATCTTCACCTATGGCGAGGGCGAGAGCGGCACCATGGGCAATATCATAATCAACCCTGTCCTCGGTATTGCTGGCTTCAGGTCTGGTCTCCACAGTTGGGCCTTTACCCTGAAGCCATTTCCAGAGTTGTATGTGGCCAAGTTTGTTGCCAAGGGCAAAGGCCAGCTGGGGCCTGCTGAGCAGGCCAAGAAGGTAGAGGACATAATGAAAAAGCTATGGGGAGACCAGTACTTTGATCCACCTACCAGCAAGTTCAGCAAGTTAGTCAACAACCCCAATGACAAGAAGCTGCTGTGGACATTCTGCCAGCTCATCCTGGACCCCATCTTCAAGGTGTTTGATCCAATCATGAACTTCAAGAAAGAGGAGACGGCAAAACTAATTGAAAAACTGGACATCAAGTTGGACGGTGAAGATAAGGATAAGGAGGGCAAATAACTTCTGAAGGTTGTGATGTGCCACTGGCTGCCTGCTGGGGACGCCCTGCTGCAGATGATCACCATCCACCTGCCCTCCCCTGTGATGGCTCAGAAGTACCGCTGTGAGCTCCTGTACGAGAGGCCCCCAGACGATGAGGCAGCCATGGGCATTAAAAGTTGTGATCCCAAAGGCCCTCTCATGACATACACTTCCAAAATGGTGCCAACCTCTGACAAAGGTTGGTTCTAGGCCTTCGGCCAGGTCTTCTCAGGGCTGGTGTCCACTGGCCGGAAGGTGTGCATCATGGGGCTCAACTATACTCCCGGGGAGAAAGAGGACCTGTACCTGAAGCTGATCCAGAGGACAACCCTGATGATGGGCCGTTATGTGAAGCCCATTGAGGATGTGCCTTGAGGCAACATCATGGGCCTGGTGGGCATGGACCAATTCCTGGTGAAGACCGACACCATCACCACCTTTGAGCATGCCCACAACACGTGGGTGATGAAGTTCAGCGTGAGTCCTATCGTCAGGGTCGCTGTGGAGGCCAAGAACCCAGCCAACCTGCCCAAGCTGGTGGAGGGCCTGAAGTGGCTGGCCAAAGTCGGACCCCATGGTGCAGTGCATCATCAAGGAGTCCAAGGAGCACATCATCATGGGGGGCTGGGGAGCTGCACTTGGAGATCTGCCTCAAGGACGTGGAGGAGGACCATGCCTGCATCCCCATCAAGAGAAATCTGACCCAGTTTTATGGTACCACGAGACTGTCAGTGAGGAGTCGAACATGCTCTGCCTGACCAAGTCCCCCAACAAGCACAGTGGGTTTTACATGAAGGCGTGGCCCTTCCCCGATGGCCTGGCCAAGGGCATCGACAAGGGCGAGGTATCTGCACCAGGAGCTCAAGCAGCGGGCCCGCTACCTGGCCGAGAAGTATAAGTGGGATGTGGCCGAGGCCCGCAAGATCTGGTGCTTCGGCCCTGACGGCATGGGCCCCAGCATCCTCACAGACATCACCAAGGGTATGCAATACCTCAGTGAAATCACGGACAGTGTGGTGGCTGGCTTCCAGTGGGCCACCAAGGATGGGGCGCTGTGCAAGAAGAACATGCAGGGTGTGTACTTTGACGTTCATGATGTGATGCTGCACACCGATGCCATCCTCTGTAGGGGCAGCCAGATCATCCCCACGGCCTGGCGCTGCCTGTACGCCAGTGTGCTGACCGCCCAGCCCTGGCTCACGGAGCCCATCTACCTTGTGGAGATCCAGTGTCCAGAACAAGTGGCTGGTGGCATCTGTGGTGTCCTGAAGAGGAAGCGGGGTCACGTCTTCGAGGAGGCTCAGCTGGCTGGCACCCCCATATTTGTCGTGAAGGCCTACCTGCCTGTCAATGAGTCCTTTGGCTTCACCGCTGACCTGCGGTCCAACACGGGTGGCCAGGCCTTCCCCCAGTGTGTGTTCGATCACAGGCAGATCCTGCCTGGCGACCCCTTCACCACCACCAGCCGCCCCAGTCAAGTGGTGGTGGAGACGCACAAGCACAAAGGCCTGAAGGAACGCATCCCAGCCCTGGACAACTGCCTGGACAGGTTGCAGGCGGCCTCGGCACGGTCCCCGCGCCCAGGGACAGTGACCACAGCACCAAGCCCCCACATTCTCCACGACACCTCGAGGTTATCCAGACCCAGTAACGCTCTGCCTGACAGGTTTCTGGGGCCCACTTCGTGCCATCGCTCAACATGAAGACTTGATGCCATTTCTTTCGATATTTATTTCCAGATTTCAGGGGCAACAGAAGTGCCCTCGCAGCAGGGACTGATCTGGCTGATGGGGATGGGGGAGGGGATGGAACCACCAACACTTTTTTATAGAGAGGGAAACTTAATGTCCAAAAAAAAGTTAAAGATAAACGCACTAAGAGGTTTAAAAAAAAAAAATAGAAGAACCACAAGTGTCTATCAGACACTTGAAAAAGTATCTGGCCCCAGTAATCATACCAGCTATATGGTATTTCTGCCTGGAGCTCAGACCACTCCCCCAAGCTCCAGACCCAAATGTCCAGCTGTTCATTTGAGCAACTAAGATACAGCAGAAGTGATTTCCAAGGATAGGTCATAAAAGATACTGAGGTTTTGGCCTCTTGCTCACTCTCTCACCTCTCTCCCACTGGGAGAAATCAGCTTCCATGTCACAAAGATACTAAGCAGTTCTCTGGGAGGTCGTAAAGAACTAAGGCCTCAGTCATGTGCATAAACCACCTTGGAAATAAACCATCCAGCCCCAGTCAAGCCTTCAGGTGTCTGCCGGCTACAGACAGTTAATCTCTGGCTCAGAGATTAACTGCAACCCCATGAGAGACCTCCAAGCTGGGGCCACTGAGCTAAGCTGCTCCTAGATTTCTGATGCACAAACCTTGGGTGAGAATAAATGTTTATTGCTGTTTTAAGGTTATACTGTAGTTTTTATTTATTTGAAGAAATTGTTGAGAACTGATCCCCAGATTCCTTAAATTGAGAAATTTAAAAGAGTAGAAGTGCAGCAATGATTCTTAGGCAAATCTAAATTAACCTTGCAGATTTTTAAATGTGAGTCTTTAGAGGTAATCTCAATTTTGGAAGAAAAGATTTATTCTTTTAATAACTTTTTTAAATCAAAAAACTGGAAAAAATAGACTTCTATTTTTTACATTTTAGAAGTGAAAATGTGACTCTTTGATAGTCGTTTTCCTCTCTCACTCCATGTGTTGAAAATTCTGATAATGAGATTGCTAGATGCAGAGATAAAGAGTATACAGGAGGATAGTGTTAGTCACTCAATCATGTCCAACTCTTTGAGACCCCACGGACTGCAGCATACCAGGCTCCTCAGTCCATGGAATTCTCTAGGCAAAATACCGGAGTGGGTTGTCATTCCTTTCTCCAGGGGATCTTCCTGATACGGGAGGAAGGGGAGGTGGAAGAAGGTTGAAATGTGATCTCATAGTTCCTGGCACCCATCTCTAACAAAAGATATCAGTGACAAAAGGTTTTCTGTGTCCACACCTCCCATTGGGACATAGCTAGCTTATCATGTCCTCAAAAATGGAGAGAAATGGTTTTCCCTTTATCAAAATTTAAAGACCTTTATGGTAATGATTAAAATAAATTGAAGTACTCATGGGAGTGGTAATTGGTTCTCTCTTCGCACAACATGAGGTATATGCCTTATGGTTCCTCATTCTTATAATGATTCTGACTTTTCCAAAATAAGGGCCCCTACCAATAAACACAGCAAGGATAAGTGGAGGGAAGGGTTTGAAGTAACTGCATGGTCTAGTCCCTGCTGACAAAACCCAGCAATGCAGAGAATAAAATATTGCTGACGTTAATGCGGTTCTGTAAGGGTCAGTCTTCTAATGTACTTACATTTTCAGAAAATCATTCAACTGAGATTTGGTATATAGCCTTTCTACCAGGAATAACGTACTTTTCAGAGTTCCCTCACATTTACCTCCCAGCAATTCTATTAGCAACTGGAATTATTATTTCTATTGAATATATGATAAAAATTCTCAGGGTCAGCTTGTTGGTGGCAAGAAAGACTATAATTTAGACCTCCTGGAATCCAATATAGGGCCTTTCCCCAGGCCACTGTTAAGGACTTAGAAAAGTGGGTAATTTAAGAACACAATTTTGGTTTTTAATTTGCTTTTAAATTTTGTATTAATTCAAAATAGTTTGTTATATTTTTAATCCATGATTTTATAAAATGAGCTTATTGTTATAATATTCACTGTTTCTCTCATTCACGCACTTACATAGATCCTGTTCTATCATTGTTAAGTCCACTGATTAAAAAAACTAAGCTACATACAAAGTTTGAGCAAGCTCCAGGAGATGGTGAAGGACAGGGAAGCCGGGTGTGCTGCAGTCCATGAGGTCACAGAGAGTCAGGTACAACTGAGCAACTGAACAACAACATATAAAAGAAAGTTTCTTCACTCACCTGCACACACTTTGGTTAAGGATGTGAATTTGCAATCATTCCATTTTGACTCTTCAAGTAAACCTTTGAAGGGGGAGCAGAATGGAATGGAAGAGAGAAAACAGTCACCTCTGGCTTTGACAAGTGGTCAGAAAGAGGTCACAAGTAGAAAAGTAAGATAGGGAGTACTAAGTGTGTTACTCGGCAAGAATATAAATGGCTGATGAGATGGGTAAGGTGATTGAAGTACAGTGGAGAGGGCTGTTGAAGCATTTAGAATGATTAGGTTTAAAGCAGTAACCATGAAAGATAATGTCCTTTGAGGCTCAGTTTTGATGGCCCTCCTGTAAAATCCACCCTTATTTCCCAGAACAAAATTCTGTCCTCTAAGATAACACTGTCCCTCTCCCATTAGCCTTCATCAAGCCAAAACTACCCATGACTTAGCACAAAGAGACTCTAATCTTCTTCCAGGCAGTGTCTTTGTTGGGCTTATTTAACTCCTACAATTCTTAGCAACGAGCTGGAGGTGGAGGACAGGCAGAGGATGAAGGAAAGGCAGAAATGACTTCAGTGTTGACTTAGTTACTCCTTCGATCTTGACACTTTGCTAGACACTGCACTTGTGTCATCTCATGAGGAATCTAAGGCTTAGAGAATTTAGTAATTTATCCAAGATCACTCAACTGATAGGAGGTAAATTCAGGATTTGAACCTAATTCTTTCTTCCTACAAAACTGGTACTGAGCTTATTAGTATTTGCAGGAAAATTAGTTCTGGCATGGTGTTTAGAAATGGCTGAAATCATTTCACCATGATTCTTAATTATTTCTGGGTCATGAACTCATGCAGGGATCTCTCCCATAAAATTATATATATGCAAATACATACAACACTGTGCATACCATTTCACAGGGATCACAGGGCTCCCAGAGCGCATCAAGGGCTAGCCAAGGAAACCATGGAAACCAAAGTAAGAACCCATGATGACAGTATTCCAAACCACTCCTCTCCTATCCCATTCCCCCCACCTCTCTTCCCACAGTCTGAGAGCCATCAAAACCAGAGAAAGTTTAAACACATGAAAAGTTTGATTGGGAAGAGCAAATTTAAAATTCTGATATAATGCTCTACTTAAAACTGTCATGGAAAAAAAATTTGAACAAGGAGACCTTGGATAATGTAGACTACCTTTAAATTTCAGTCATGATCTTCAGACCACATGTGATGTAAGACTGAGAGATGAGGTTCAGAATTCATCCTGCTCAGAATTCATCCTCAGGGGAGTGAAATAGCTGAAAATAAACTGAATGGAAAATCCTAGGAAGTATCCTATGATTTAAAGGAAGAAAGGTTTATTTCTATCATTTTGCCTATGAAATTTTTCTTAAAAAATGTCTGGATTTTGGGGGCTAAATAAAATGCTTGGATGAAGTTTGTGTGGTTTTTATTTATACTCTGTATTATTTCAAAGAGAATTTAAGATAGCATATAGGCTTAGAGAAAATATAATAAGATATGAATTACACATAGAAAAAAAATAAACAGAGACATAAACTAGGGAGACAGGAGTGGAGCTGATTTTATAACATGAATTTGTATACTGATAAGGCCTCTACTTCCTCAAGGTAATTTTTAAAAATTATGCAACACTAAGTTGCATATTAAGTATATATTTTTCAGAATTCACAAAATACCTTCACATACATTATCTCATTTGATCCTAAATTGAAAAGGCAATAATTTTGAGGCAATTATTCTCTATATTTTCCAGAAAAGAAAACCGAGGCTCCGGGAGGGACTTGGAAAATCTAGTCCTTGTTCTTTTCAACGCCACTGATTGTTACAGTTCCTGGGAACGGATAACTGATGCCTCTCAGTTCTCTGAAAGAACAATAAACACTTGATTCCTGTGGCCAGGACATCTTCATGAGAGGATTACTACCTCTTTACAGGTGCTTTAGATCTGGAGATGGACAGACATAAAATTGAAGGACTTCAGACTTGGAATAGACCTTTCAGGTAAGGTCTTTGATCACTTTATTGATGAGTGCATCAAAACTCTCTAGGAAGCCAAAAGATTTGTCACAATCATTCTATCCGTTTGTGGTAGGGCCAGGGTCAAAGGCAGGTTTCCTGAATCCTTCTCTTTACACTTCATTGCCTCTATAGCTCCATACATACCCTTTCTATAATTCTTTTACAGATGCAATTCTGACCTTTCTTTCCCCAGTTCCTCTTGTGTTCACTGAGTAAACTGCTGCATGCCAACTGCCTGGCTACCAACTCCTGGTAGCCCCCGCATGACCTGACACCAGTGACTTTTCCCACTGCTCACTTCCTGTAACTGCATGGGAATGCTTTTGATTGTAAGGATACTAGTCCTTTGGGTTAACATCCTCACAGAGTGGTCTTGTGCAGACTATGGATAAAGAACATACTTTTGTGAACAGCAGGGAACTGAGTCTCTTCTGGAAGGAGGGGACTTTCTAGGTGTCTGTCATCAGGAAAGATTTGAGTGAAGGCACTTAGATGGGAGGGACAAAATGACCTTTGAAATTCTGGAGGACTTGGGCAGGGACTGTCTCTCCCACCTCCCAAACCAAAGTGAACCAGGTTATGAAATGCCTGGTAATTTTTCATGTCAAATGAAAGGCCATTCAACCACATACCAGCCAACCACTGCCATCCCCACATGAAGGTGGCAGTAGAATGACAGGTTTCAAAAGGGAGAGGGAAGTATTAGGCAACAGGAACCAGGGTCACGGTCACCCAGTCACTTCTGCCCTAACAAGGACTCTCCTTCCACTGCCAAGGTCAGAGGCCATGGGTTAGCAAATGAGCTCCCTTAGGCAACTTTGAATTCCCTGAACCAGATTCAGGACCTCTGTACATTGTTTCTTGCGCCTAAATTTCAGTTCCCTTCCTGACCTTTTGTCCTTTTGACAAACTCTTACTCATCCTTCGTATGTCTGGTTCAGAGATCATCTACTTTAGATAACCTATTCTGACACTATCCTGTCCTCCATCTCCTCCTCCAAAATCTGTGTTCTTTTAGAACAGACTCTGCTTTTAGTTCCAACGCCCAGCAGTGCAGGAAATATGTATGTACTTGGTGTCAGTTGAATGAATGAACTCACTGTGATCTTTTGAGTGCATTTTTCAATAGGTAATTCATGAGCACTGATAAAATCCAAACTGCACTCGAAAAATTCAGTAAAAAGTAGATCTTCCCCCAACTATATCCCCTCCGACCCTTGGTCTCAGTTGTGTCCTTTCAGACTATATACATAGGGTATTTAAGTGTATTCCTGTCATTTTTCTACACAATAGTAAAAAAAAAAAGTTATTTTCATTTGCATAACAATACAGCTTATACACAAATATATATATTATATATATCACTTATTACATATAGTCGCTGTATCTATAAATATATATAGCATTAAGTATATATTTATAGACTAAGTCCTGTGCCTTTTTACTTGGCAGAAGTCAGGCTTTTTTTCCCTTTTAATTAAGACCACGCAGTATTCTACCGCAGGGGTACGCCAAGGTTTCCCTCACATTCCCTGATTTAGGGTTTTAGATTTATGCTTCCATTATTTTCACTGTCAAAGCCCCGTCCTCCAGCGCAGAAACACCCTCACCCTCCTACCCCTCGCCCCCGCCCGCCGTCCCAGCGGTTCCATCATTTTCAAACCCCTGGTCACGAGCCCACGGCAGGCCCAGCGCCAAACGCGACCTCCGCCTTCCACCACGTACCCCCGCATCCCCGCCGCAGAGCGGAGGGGACGCGGCCCCGCGCGCGTCGCGGCGACGGGGCCACACGGCCCCTCCCCTCCCGTAGCGTCTCCCGGCCGCCTGAGTCGCCCGCGCAGAGGGGCCGGAACAACCGGCGCCTGGCCTCGCCCGGCTCTGGGAGGACCGGCAGGACGGGCGTGGCCGGCTAGGCGCGGCGCTGGGCGGAGTTCCGGCGCGGGAGGGGCGGGGCTCTGGCTGGGCGGGGCTCCGGCAAGCGGGGCGGGGCGCGGCCAGCGTGCAGGGCTCCTCCCCTTTCCTCCGGCGGCGCCGGCGGCCGCAGCACTTCCGGGTCGGCGCGGAGGCGGGGCGGAGGAGCCGCGGCGGCTGTTATTGTTCGAGTGTGCTCGGCTGGCGCTGTCTCCCTCGGCTCTGTCGGTGTCAGTTTGTCCAGTTTCCCCTCGGCCCCTCACTCCCGGCGGCTGAAGGCGGCGGCGGCAGCGGCGGCGGCAGGCGGGGCCTGGCTTTTCGAGGCCGAGTGGCGCCGGGGTGAGGGGCGCGGAGGAGGAGGAGCAGCAGCAGGAGGAGGAGCCGTGTGCCCTGGCACCGAGCGGCCGCGGCCATGGCGTACGCCTATCTCTTCAAGTACATCATCATCGGCGACACAGGTGAGGCCCGGGACGCGGCGGCTGACCGGTCGGGAGGCGGCGGCCCGGAGGCCGGGGCCGAGGGGCAAACGGCATCGGGCCGCGGCGCGGGTTTGGTCGCCCCCGGGCGCCTCCCCGCCGCTCCATTTCCGCAGTGCTGGAGCTGGTGACGTGGGCACTGCGAGCGGCCGCGGCCTGGCCCGCCGCCGCGGCCCCGGCCCCGGCCGGGCCTGCAGCCGGGGGCCGTGACAGCCGTTTCACCGCCCGGTCTGGGGAGTAGATGACAGGGGAGCCGGCCTGGCTCTGAGGGTTGCACGCCCTGCCCGGAGCCCCTCACCTTGGGCCTCGCCGCCGCCCCCGAGAAAGGACAAGGGGGGCCCGGGGAGAGCAGAAGGGGATGGAAGGAGGGTCTTGGCTTCCCTGACACATCCCACCTTCTCCGACCCGTTCACATCTGCCACGGCCTGAGCAAAGCGCTCCCCGGCGTGGAACAGCTAGCTGAGAAGACATTAAAAAAAAAAAAAAAAGATATATATGTGTGTGTGTATATATGTGTTTTTATCACTCTCAACTGCCAAGTCAGCATAAGTAGCATCCCATTACTTGGCGCCTGGGGAGCGCCTTTCGAGGTCACTAAAGCACGGAAGAGTTCTGTCTGTCGACTTTTGCCACGTGTAAACTGGCGTTATTTGATAGTAATGCAAGGCCCTTCAGTGCTCTCGGGTGCGTGTGCGTGTTGGGGACACTGGCTTTTTTTCCGATACATGAAATCCAGGCCCACAGCTGCCAATTAATCAGATGACCTAATGTTATTTGAAGCAGAAAGACATACAGCTATTTTTCACTTAAAATTACATCCCAGTGTATTTTACAGATAAAGTAGTCAAACTCATTGAAAATACATTTTTTAAATTATTTATGGGTTTTTTTTTGGCATTACTGTGAATCTAATAATAAAGCTAAGACGTGTTCAGGTGTTACAACTATTAATATACCAGAGTCTGATTTCAGTGATGACTCTTGCACAACTTTGGACCCTTTGCACAACTTTGGAAATGTAAGCGGAGGCTTGTGGTTGTACTAGCAATACGTCACGTTGAATAAGTAACACAAGAGGTATGTTGATTGCTGCCTAAAAGAAAGATTTTCTGCTGTAAATACAGCATTTCAGCAATGTTTTTTGGCGTGCGCGTTGAAACTTGATGGTTCTCTTTGCAAAATCCTGGATAAAGCAATGTTTTGCACATGTTCAGTAGCAAATTTATATACTTTTTAAAATACTGAAGGAAGTGGGGTTTCGAAGCCTACTGGTACATTTTAATTTAGGTTGTAACAGTGAGATTGGAAGAGGAAATTCACAGTAACTATAATACGAATGGGTTTGGGAAGTAGAAGGGTTATTATGGACATCAGCAGTAGTGACAGTTGTAATTAGCCTTTGCAGGTTTCTCTCTTTCAGCTTACCTACCAAACATCTACTGTGGGTGAAGAGTTGTGCTGGGAGTAGTGGGGCTACAAATATTAGCAAGTTGGTGCTGGGTTCTTTTGGAATTTGCCCTCATGCCAAAACAGTGTCCAGGCAGTTCAGAGGGAAGACATTCCTTCTTGCATTGCTACTGTTACCCACCTGGTTCAGGTACACCTGACAGTAGACTGTCCACTGCGTCACTTTCTCCCCCCTCCAGTAACTGTCAGATTAATCTTCCGCAAATGGGTCTCTGGGGAGGCCATTCCTCCATTTACATTCGTTTGTTTGACCTTCAGGGACCTCCACATCTAAGCATTATTCCCTTATTCAGCCTTCTTTCCCACTGTTCACTAGTCCCCGTCTTCCTCCTGCCGTGAGGTCCTGTGCGTTTACCTGGTCACTGCTGCTCCCTCTGTTTGGAGTGCCTCTCTGTCAAATTTGTCTGCCCTCAAAGTTTGACTAGAGTCTTCCATAGTGGTTTCACAGTCAACGTTTATTAAGTACTTTTGATGTGTTAGGCATTCCTGGTATCCCAACTGGAAGTGACTACACCTCCTTATCTGGATGTATCCCCCTTTGTATTAATTCCTGACTGTTTTGTAGATACTTGGGTGGGCATTTGTGTTTGATTACATACCCCTTGAGGGCAGAAAAGGTGTTTTTGCATGGTTTTATATGCCAGGAAGAACTTAGTAGAAGGTAGGCCCCAGATACTTAATTACATTAATGAAAGAATAGCCAAATAGGCCATAATGTCCCTATTAGTATACATTGATAACTTGACAGAAGAATTTTTTAGCCGAGTTCTGCCATTTTCTATTTATATCAACTTTGACCAGATTTCTTAATTCAAAGTAGACCCACTTAATGTGACCCTCCCACACACAAGAATGATAATAAATCAATAATGGGAGGTCCATCCTAATTTTTTTTTTAATGTCACAGTGTGGAAAACATGCATTTTTTTAATCGAAGAAAATCACTCCTTTTCCTGATTTTCAGTTTTCCTACCTATTAAAACAATCATTATTAGCGTGCCCCCCCCATAGTGAGATAAAGTAAGGGCAGATATGAAAACACTGCACGTGCTCATGATGCTGCTGAAGTGTTCCTTTTCTTACTATATGGCCAAGTGCGGTTAAAATACAGCTTTAAATTTTCATGGGTAGTGTCTCATTCCTGAAAAATCATTTAGGAAAATGTGTCATTTAAACCTAGATATTAAGTGGAAATTGGTTTTTAACAAGCCTAGACTAATATCATAAGCAGATAATTATCAAATGCAGAAGAATCGAAAAATTGTAATAAACCTATAATCTTGGTACACAGAAACACAAACCTGGTTGTGTTCTATCTGAAATACCCTTTCTTCTGGGCTCCACTCCCCAAAACCCCACTCCAGCCAAAGTGAAAGTCAGGTCAGAGTTTTTTATTACCTTGGCAGCTCCTGTCCATTCATTCTTTCAGGGTGATAACAAACCCCACCCTTCCCTAGCTCCCTGTACTAGTTCCCTCTCTTCTTTATTTAGCCACCCCCACAGTTTGGTTTGCCTGTTTTTTCTTAAAAACTTTTAAGGACAAGTGTTGTATAAGAAGGGATTCCCTCGTAGCTTAGTCATTAAAGAATCTGCCTGCAATGCAGGAGACCTGGGTTCAGTTCCTGGGTCAGGAAGATCCCCAGGAGAAGGGAATGACAACCCACTCCAGTATTCCTGCCTGGATAATTCCATGGACACAGGAGCCTGGTGGGTACAGTCAGTGGAGTCGAAATAAACAAGCCTGAACACACATTATCCTAACATCTGAATGTGTTTTTTTATTTGAGATATGATTGGCGTATAACACTGTTTTAGTTTCAGACACACAGCATAATGATTTGGTAAGTAAATACGTTGCAGAATGATTACCACAATAAGTTTCATTAACATCCATCACCACACATAGCTAGAAAGTTGTTTTTTCCTTGTGATGAGACCTTTTAAGATATACTCTCCTAACTTTCAGCTGTCCCATACAGTGTTGATGACTGTATTCATGCTGTACAGTACATCCCCAGGACTTGTAGCTCGAAGTTTGTACTTTTTGATCATCTTTACTGCAGCATCTTAAATAATCTTTTTGTTTGTTTGGAATGTTTTTGACTTTGTTTTAAAAGTGAGGGTAGGCATTCAGTATCAGACATGTTTAATAGATAAGTGGATGGGCTCTTGGGGAAGGTGCTGCAGGGCTCTAACTGGAAGATAATACTTGATTTGCCAGGTGGGCAAAGGGGAAATATCTAGTAGATAATTGCAAGTGCATGTTTGTAGCTCAGTCATTGATGTTTTTAAAACATAGTGATATTCATTGTTGTCTGACTCTGCATCTCCATGGACTGCAGCACGCCAGACCTCCCTATGATACTGGGAAGTTGAAAACAGATCTGTACCACGGGCCATTTTATTGAAGACTTTGCATGTGAAAGAGAAGGAAAGAGTGAGAAGTTTAGAGTTGATTGCAAGATCAAGTTGGCTGGTGTGTGTGTATGAGGATAGGGGAGACTTGAGGTTGAAAGGTTGAAATTACTAGAGAAAGGGTAGAAGCTAAATCCCAGAGGATTCCGGGAAAGAACAGCATTTGATTCTCTAGGTTTGGAACTGTAACAGCAGGAAGACCACCTTCTCTGGGAAACTCTCATTTGAGTTTCTTTAGATCCTTATGAGTCATCTGGTGTATTGGTTTTTTGGTGGGTTTTTTTTTTTTTTTTCTTCTTTTAAGGATTCAGTGGCCTAACCCTCAGTGATTTTGAGTTACTTGATCTGAAGTGGAGCTTCATGTTGCAAAACCTAAGGCCAGAAACACTAATCATTTTATATAATTATATGAGTAAGTTTGTTGGACTGTTTCGGAAAACACACAGTAGGAAAACAAACTGGGAAGTTGGGAGGCAGAAAACTTCCATTAAGTTTTAAAAAATTATATATCATGCATGTAAAACAAATTCATATTATATGTTAACACAGTTTAAAGAATAGAGTTGAATCAGACACCCATGCGAGAGAAATACAGAGCCTCATCACTTGAGTCTCCACAAGGCGTCCTCTCACCGGAATTCTGTATTAGTCCTTCCCTAGCTTTTCTTCATAGACGTCTCACTTAACACATCCCTAAACTATAGTGTCTAGTTCTGCCTGTTTTTGGATGTGTTCAGTTGTTTTATTAAATGAGAGAGTTATGTTTCTGAAACATAACCTTTTAACATCACCCAGAATTTACTTGAAGTTTTCGCTTTCTGCATGTTACTTACTATCCTTCAGGATTTTGACTCCCCTTTTCCTTTCCATCCCAGCCAGTGTATTTGCTGCCTGCTTCCCCTAATATTTATATTGCTCCTGAGACTTCCTTTTGAGCCACAGAGGCCACGGCCCCGGGTTCCTCATCCCTTTCCCCCTTTCTTCTCTCCTGGTGAGCCTGCCCCTCATCTCCTGTCATGCCCCACTCTTCTGTCTTATGCTTGTGTCCTTTCTGTCCCCACTCCATTGCTGCTCCCGCTCCAGCGTGAAATTAACGTCCT